CATAACTGTTTTACATACGTGATTTTTTGAACCCAGCTGCCCTGCAAGGGTGGGTTGTTATCTTCCTCTTAATAATAATCAAGTAAACTGAGCTTCAAGGATGGAATGTGAACTCATATCTGACTGCCTCAAAAGCTTGGGCTCTTGGGATTTTCAACAGCAAGAAATAAGTGGTGATTTTTAATCCAGTCTGGATAAAAAAGGTAGTTTTAATAGTTGGAATATACCCAAGAAGTTATCAAAGAAGTAAGATTTAAGCAGGACTTTGAAGGAAAAGCAGACTATATAAAGTTCTGACTTTTGTTTCCTAGTGTTGGAGTTGCACGAGTTCTGGAATACTGAGGAATTCTCATCCAGTCTCCATGAACCTCTTTTACAACTCTCCTCATGTTATAAATCTCTCTGTTGAGGTGGGGTCCTCCTCTCTGTTATCCATCCTGAGAATAAGCAGAACTTCCTCAATCTCTAGCTCCAAAGTCTCTGAACAGAAATCCCAGTAGAGTCATGTGACAGATATCATTTCCTCTTTGATCTCCAAGTGAAACATTTTTTTTCCTTTAAATGAGGTAAAGTTTACAATGAAATGCACCGATCTTAAGTGTACAGTTTGATAAGTTTTGAAAAATGATAGCCAACTCCTCAATCAAGACAGAAAATATTTCCGTCACCACAGAAAAGGCCCTCTGCTTCCCTTCCAGTCAATTCCCACCGCTTCCACCCTTTGGGAAAGTAGATCAATGGAAATATCATGTTATTTACTTCAGATATGTGGATAATCCTTTGGTTACTCATCTTGCTTCCCAGATGGCTTTTAATATGCGAGATGATGGAGAAAAAGAATCAAAAGAATGAACAAAGGAAGTGGTAATTTGTTGATAGCCATCAGTTTTAGAATCACTTTTTCTTTGCTTATGAGTTATCCTATCCCCAGGATCCAGTCCATTCCTGAGTCCTGTCAAGCCACCTCCTCCAGATGTCCAGGATCCAAGCTGCCAACATCTCTTGCTAGAAGTAAAGACCTCTAACTGGTCTCCTCTAATACACGTCCTCTGCCTTCTGGTCCTTTCTCTATGCTAGAGGCAAATAATCTTTTCAAAATGTGAATCTGTCATTTCAGCCCAGCCCCTTAAACTCCTAATGGTTTCCCTGTTTTTTAAGATAAAGACAAAACAAACGCCTTGCCTTGTCTGGGCCTCCGTTCCTCTCTGGTCCCATTTGGTATCCATGTTCCTTGGCTCTGAGCTCCCAACACACTGGCCCATCAGTCTTTTTGTTACCCACCTCAGGATCCTCATAGGCCCTTTCCACTGACTGGAATGTCCTTTCTTCTCCTTGTTTTTAACTTAATTCTTATTTGCTCTTCAATCTGATGTCAACTCAAACCTCCTTCCCAGGGAAATCCTTCCTTGGGTGATGGACTCAGACATGAAAAATAACACATTTTAGACTGATTTACCCCCTCCATACCATTCCAGCCCAGGTATTCTATGGGCAAGAACAGAAGATATCGACCCAAGCTAATCCTCCCAATATGAAGTATCTTCTGGGCCCATTTACTTCATTTTTGTAAACTGATGTCACCTCCAACTTCCTGTGCCCCCCAGTCCTGGAAGTTCTTTCTCCTTTCTTATTCTTCAAAAAATATTATAATTTCAGCAGTTTCCTTATCCTTCAAGTAATGGTACTTGAAATACTGGGTGATTACTGCTCTTCCCATCTTTGGACTTCACATTCCAAAACAGGTAGGTGGGGCATTGGGGAAAAAAATTCCATAATTCCTGCTAAGCATTTAAAAAGAGATCTTCTAAAATAGTATTTTATAAGGAATTAAAGTATGACATGCATGAAGGAATAGAAAACAGAATTCCAGGTGCTATACACAGCAGAGAACTTTCTTCTTTCCAAGAGGACTGACAGCCAGAAATTACTTTCCCAGAGAATACTGAGTAAAATTAGACAGTGAGTATGCAGTAACACGTTGGGGCACAGATACTCATTTTATGTTGATTCCTAAGTTACTTACACTCTATTTCCTCTTATAACTCACTCCAAACCTTTCCGTCCATCATTCATTGAACATTTATTGAGCACCAAATATGTCAGGCTGTGTTCTAGGAGGCTGTGATGCCTAAGTGCACAAAACTGAAAGAAATCCTTTTATACTGTTGGGGAAGATAAATAATAACTTACTTATTCTGTTAGCGGAAGTAAGTTGTGGAAAAATAGCTAGAACAGGGCGAGGGGGATAAATAGTGCTGGTGGGGTGGAGAAAGAGCTTGTGACTTTAAAGATTTTATTTTTCCTTTTTCTCCCCGAAGTGCCCCTGGTGCATACTTGTATATTTTTTTAGTTGTGGGTCCTTCTAGTTGTGGCATGTGGGATGCCGCCTCAGTATGGCCTGATGAGCAGTGCCATGTCCATGCGCCAGGGATTCAAACCTGCAAAACCCTGGGCCCCCAAAGTGGAGCATGCGAACTTAACCACTCGGCCACGGGGCCGGCCCCAAGATTGTGACTTTAAATAGGGGTCAGAGTATGCCTTTTTGACAAAGTGACATTTTCAGAAAGAACTTGGAAGTACGGAAGTTTACCATATTGACGTCTGGGGAAAGAGCATTCCAGCCAGTGATGAGGCCCTAAGCTGGGAGTGTGTTAGGTCCCAACAAGGAACAGCCAAGGCAGGGTGCTGGAGATGGGGTCAGAGGTGAGGGGGCACAGGGTAGGAGACTTAGGTAAGGCCTTGGAGGTCATTACAAGGACGTTGACTTTTCCTCAGAATGAAATGGGATCCATGGAAGGGTTTCGAGCAGAGTGTCATGATCTGACTTGTACATCAGAAGGATCTTTTCATATATGCAATGGAGTATTTTATTTTATTTTTAAAGATTTTATTTTTTCCTTTTTCTCCCCAAAGCCCCCCAGTACATAGCTGTATATTCTTCGTTGTGGGTCCTTCTAGTTGTGGCATGTGGGACGCCGCCTCAGCGTGGTTTGATGAGCAGTGCCGTGTCCGCACCCAGGATTCGAACCAACGAAACACTGGGCCGCCTGCAACGGAACACGCGATCTTAACCACTCGGCCACGGGGCCAGCCCCCGGAGTATTTTATTTTAAAATAAAAGTTTTTATTTTAACAATTTCAAACATAGAAGTTGGTACAATACCTGTATGTTCTGTATCTCATTAACCAATTTTTAATGGTTAGTGCAGTGATCTTTTTCTATATTCTGTGTATGCATATATATATACCTTTATAATACCCCTAATAATCATAAAAACAATGTTGGAGGTTATAAACACACACATATATAATCCTATATAACCACAATACAGTTATAACAATCAAGACATTTAACATCGCTGTAGCCATCATCTAATATCATTCTATATTGAAATTTACCAGAGTTTTCCAAAAACATCCATTTAACTTGAGAAACTATAATTTATCATTCAAACTAGGACTCTTAAAAAATGACATAACTTACATCTGGTAAAGTAAACACATCCTAAGTACACACCTCTGTGGATTTTTACATATGGGTACACCTAACCAATGCCACCCAAAATAAGCTAAGCCACTTAATTATGCTGAGACAGCAGGTATAATCAGGACTGATGGCTTCCTTGTGAGTAGATTCGTAGTAAATCTTTTTGGCTAGATTATCAGTGACGTATTGTATCAGGTCAGAAAACATCTCCATTTGTACCATTCCTGGTGATGGCAAGTTGGAATATTTGGTTAAGGTGGACATAACCAAATTTCAATTTTTGCCTATAAGCCCTATCTTGCCAAATGTAGGAATTTACTTGAGGCACTTTCAGGTAAATTAATTCCAATTCAGTGAGTTAATATTTTGAAAATCGCCCCATCCCCTTTCTCCTCCTTACCTCTGCCGTTAGAGCTGGGGACCTTAGATGGGGAAGGGAGCCACTTCACTTCTGCTTCCTGTCAGGAAGGTCACAGGCTTCCTTCAGGCAGATCAGTTTGCCTCAGGCAGCAACGTCTGGGCAGGACCTCTGACTCGAACTGTTATCGCAGCGCTGACTCTTGGAGTTTCCCATGTTTCTTTGGAGCCAATGGAAATTTGGAGGGCTAGCTCCAGACTTCTCACATCGCCATTCCTGTTGCACCTCACACCTGCACACACACCGCACATGCACTTGTGGGCACAGACATATCTGCATGGCAAACACCCAGATCATCATCCGCAGGGTCACCTTGCCATAGAACTCATCTGAGGCATACGGAGTACATAGCTCCAACTTGTTTGTGTCTCTTCCTCATAATAGTATTCTAGGAACATGGGAGACGGTAGTGGGGGGATACAGTCGGGGAGTTAAAACTTTATAGAATTTGTAGGAAGCCTTGTGAGGATTAGAGAGTTGAGGAATAAGTGTAACTTTAGAGATTTCATTTTGCCAGAGACAGGAAGGAGGGGGTAAATAAACCATCTATAGAGAATTTCAAGTTTACTTAAGTGTGTTAGGAGCAGGGAGATAGCTGTAAGCAGAATTAGAAAGCAAAGAAAAATTCTCAAATTAATAAAGGAAGAGAGGAAGGAAATAGAACAGAAACTTGAGCAATCCAATAAAAATAGGGATAAAGTTAAAAAAGGAAACAAAATTAAAATTTATAATACACACAAGATATAAGGAATAAAATGTGTATTATTTATTACACTGAAAAATTCTGACCACTAATGAGTAATTGATGAGGAGTCGCTGCAAGACCATGAAAATATCTTTTCTTTTTAAGATTTTATTTTTCCTTTTTTCTCCCCAAAGCGCCCCCGGTATATAGTTGTATACCCTTAGTTATGGGTCTTTCCAGTTGTGGCATGTGGGACGCTGCCTCAGCGTGGCCTGACAATTGGTGCCATGTCCACGCCCAGGATCCGAACTAGCGAAACCCTGGGCCGCAGAAGCGGAGCATGCAGACTTAACCACTTGGCCACGGGGCCAGCCCCTGAAAATATCTTGATCAATAAACTTTCCCCTCTATTCTTTTTTAACATTTATTGAGGATTCATGCCCAAACCAGTCTACATCATGATGTTTATAAACTTTCCATCTTCATTACTCTGTCCAGTCCATTTTGGAAGGGGAAAAAAAAATCCCATAATACAAAAATCCATAATAACGAAACAATTTTGGAAACTGCCATGAAAACACAAGACAAGTGAAAAACATCAGATCTTTTCCAAGACTCACAGACTATAAATTTAGGAAGTACACAAAAAGTTAAAAATGAATAAACTCATCAAGTTGCACACATTAGATACATACAGCTTCTTGTATGTCAACCATACCTTAATAAAATGCCTTAAAAAATCATGCAGAAGAAAATCCTACTTTTTGGCTTAATCCTACTGAATTAAGAACATTAAAAATACTTAACATGCAATGAATATGGTCTCCTAAATACAATAGATCAATTATTTTACATACACATTTAAAATTCAATATATTACATTACTTATGATTTGGAAGTAACCTTAAACATTTACAACCAGCAGAAATATACAAAATAGTTACAAGTGGAAATAATACTGGTAAAGTGCTCTGTGTTTTTATCCCAGAGACACACCATAGAAGTTTCAAGTTATTAAGAAAACTTCGAAAAAGGTTTTGTGCAGCAAGAATGTGTTTTGGGGAGTGGGGAGAGAATAAAAGCTTTCCCTTTGGCTTAAAATATTCAACAGTTTGATGTCATTAAACTTAGAAGTCAACAGCCCCTGCAGGAGCCAGATTTCTGAGGGGAGAAATCCAGCATGGAACCCCCCACCCCCACCCCAGCCCTCCAACGCTCAGCTCAGGACCCCACTTTAAAAGAGCTATTGAGATCACTTTTATTTTGGAAGGGTAAACTTTGTGAAATGCTTTTCTATTTTAAAATACAAGAGCCTCTGTATCCCAACCCATGAAGCCGCAGGCATTATTGCCGGGGGTCCGAGGATGACAGCTGCGGCCCGTCAGCCTGTGCACCTGGAAGCAGGAGGCATGGGGGGTGTGGAGCAGCCCAGGGTTCAGCCGTCAGGGGCAGCGCGGAGCTGGCTGTAATCACCCTTCTAACATTACTAGCTGCACCCTTTTTCTTGGTATTGTAATCTTATTGGAGGCTTTTCATTAACACCTTATTCCTACAAAGCAAAGGAAAAATTTGTTTTTAAAATGATGAGAAGCAAGAAGAAATATCAAATCACATTCTTGAAAATAGCTGAGAAACCCACTGCTGGAACGCCAATAAAACAGGCCTTAAACTTTAGGGTTATGGGCGGGAAGCATGTGGCCATGTCATCAGGGAACGACAATGAGCGAAGTTATGTCTCTGTAATATGTTCTTGTCCTGTGCAACCCATGGACAAGTGAGGCCCCAGAATGGATCTTTTTTTCACTTGCCCAGTGGCCCAGGTAAGTCATTAAAGGGCTCTTCAAAGTGACCTCGGTTCTGTTCAGCTTGCTTGGAATAGAGAATGGCAGCGGGAGGCAGGAGAGCCAAAAGGGGAGAAAACACTCGTATACTTCCTCCTGCAGGAGATGGTAACTGTGCCAGGGCCCGGGGGGCTGCCAGTCCTGGCTGGTGGAGGGGGAGTCTAGCCTGAGGGACCCCCGCACGTCAGCTCTGCCGGCTGTCTTGGACCTCTAGTGTCCAGTACTCATGACACCAAAGGTGGGCCCGCAGCAGGCCAACAGACCTCGGGATGATGCCCAGGACGGCTCCTGAACAACCGAAGGGTGGGGAGATGGACCCCTGGGACCCAAGTCTGGCTGTACCATGTCTCCCCGTTCAGAAATCATCTTCTTTCTGTCCTCCCTTTCCATAGGCCCCTCTCCCAAGCTAAGCCCAGAATCACACTTAGGCTCACCCTCTGCGACACAGAACAAATGCAAATTCCCTTTAATTGTCCTACTGTTCCACCTCGCCATTTGTGCTGTCAGAAAATACTTCCAATCGCAGTCTCTCCTTCCTCCTCCCCTTATTCAACTGACACCGAATTATCTGCCTTACTACTTTGAATCTCTTGTATTATCCAAACCAGTGTGTTCTTTATACTTTCTTCAGCTTCATTGGGTCTCACCTAAGATGATTTCCCCTTGCAAATTCTCCCCTTCACATTCACATGGACTTCGCATTCCAGCTTTTTGTTTCTTTTCTGTCTCCTTTAACATGATCCTAAAATATTGCCGTTCCTTGAAGCTTTTTCCTCAGCCTCAGTGCAACTCCTATTATCCTTATCAACATCTAAATAATCATCAAATAATCATCTAGAAGCTAGATTTCTCTTCTAGCACCTGCAGAAGGTGCTAGGTACTTTAAACACATGAAAAACCAAATTTTCCCACAAGAATTTTCTAATAGATCTTATATTCCAAATATATTTTATATCCTAATAGATTTTACGCGGCTCCCCGGCCGTGCAAACCTCAATTCATTTACTTGCTTAAAACCCTTCATTCAATAGCCGGTCCCCCAGGGATGAGCTGCCTGACTTCAGACTCCTTGTCCCTCCCTTGACTCCTGGAAATTGTCTGTGTTCTCTATAAAACTAAGTACAATGGCCTTTTGGAATAAAAGTTCCTTTACAGGCATATAAACTTCTTAGTGACTTCTTAACTTTAATATACTGTAGGTGACCTTTGCATACCTTCTGGCCCAATTGGATCTTCATGTTAGAGGTGTAAAAAGTGAGATCCAGAAAAGCTAATTGACACATGTAAAGTCAATGAAATGGCTGCCGGTAGAAACACAACTGTGGCCCAGGATTGTTCCTCCTCGGGCCAAATAACGCCGCTGCCTCTTCACAACAGCGCTTCTCTCATCTCAGTTTACTGATTTTGGTGGCTTATTTTAATAAAAATATTTCCATCTTTATTTAGAAATAGAAATGTTAATTAGCTAGCACAGTTTATGTAGAGAACAACAAATTTATCAAGCCCCTTGCCACAGAACTATTCCTCATCAGTCAACCATTTTATAAAATATGTTGGTTTCAGTCTGGCGTGGATCTTAAATTAGAGCAAAGCCTTTCGTACCCTTCCTTCTGTTCTCTTCATAATTGTGCCTCCAAAATTGGTTGTTTGTGGATTATAAAGTATTTCATTGATCATATCACATAGCTAATAAAGCCTTTGAAGAGAACAACACTGGCTACTGGGTAAACTCTAAACTTCCAACATTTAAAGTCTACTATAATTTGACCCCAAACTAAAGATATTACTTAACATCTATAACGCTCGATTTGAGCCAAAATTGTTTTTTGCATACATTATGTAGGTTTCCATCTTCATGACTTTGCTCAAATTTCTCTTGATGGAATAATTAATACCCACAATTTTTTGTGTGTGTGTTTGAGGAAGACTAGCCCTGAGCTAACATCTCTGCTAATCTTCCTCTATGTTTCATGTGGGATGCCTCCACAGCATGGCTGATGAGCAGAGTAGGTCCGTACCCGGATCCGAACCTGTGAACCCAGGCCGCCAAAGTGGAGTGTGCAGAACTTTAACCACTCAGCCATGGGGCCAGCCCCCCACCATTTTTTTTGAATGCTTGCTAATGGCAGACACAGTGCTAAGAACTTTACAGGCACTAACTCAGTTAATTTTCACAATTTCTTCAGATAGGCATTATTATGCCCATTTTATAAGGGAGAAGGCTGAGGCTTATTTCCCACCATATACTGCCATATTCTGTCACACTGAGCCACTTGCAATTTCTACGTTGTCCTAAGTTCTTTCACAGCCTTGGTGCTGGTCGCTAACCAGTCCATTCTTTCTTTAAGAAACCTCTGTGATTCCAGCCATCACACGGTATTGCAGCTGTTTACATACCAGTCCCCCCCACTGACTGTAGGCTACTTAAAGGAAGGTTTTGCTAGTCATTATTTCTGTGTAGTGCATCTACCAGGAATATAGTTATTATACAATGTTTATTTCTCCAGAATTATGGGTCTCCAGGTAGAACCATTATGCCCTGACACATAAATGTTCTTTTTTCCTAGGAATACACTTACCTGAGTACTAATTTTCTTGAAAACTCTTTACTGACAACTTGTGCTTCAAATACAGGGCTTACTAGATTAACATGTGTCTCCTCTCTCCCCCAACTAACAACCAGGTGCCCACATTTAATTTGTAGAAAAGCACCAGGCAATTACCTATGAACGCATCTGGGGCACAACATATTGTCCTCCAGGTACAAGGGGGGGAAACTGCTGGCAGGCAGCAAGAAGAGCGCACACACTCTCCCCTGCTTCTCAGGAACCCAGGCTTGTCCAGCGTGGAACTGCAGGCGAACCCAGCCCTCTGTGTCCGCAGGGAGACTTTTCCCATGGACCACACACCACTTGACACCTGGGGAAGGAAAGAGGCGTGTATGAACACAGCATGGCCAAATTCTAACGTTCGAGAGTGCATCACGGCCTTTGACTCTGCTTGCTTTCTTAAGTGCCAGCTCTAAGATATGAACCCTGGAATCCTAACTTAACCTACTCTATCCTGTTCTCCTTTAGAAAATAATGCAAAACAGTTCCTATTAAAAACCTAAAAAAGAAACAAAAAATATAGTTGGAAGTGGCGTAGCTCCAGAGCGTAGACGATAGTGTAGGAGAAACAGAACTTTACCTCCGCCCATCTTAGGTTTTCAGCTAGGACTGTTTAACAAAAACATTAGCAAGAGAAAAACAGTTTATTAACACGTTTAGCACGCATCGCAGCCAACAGAAACTGACTCAAAATGGCGGCTTAGAATTCCAGCTCATGTGTCTTCGACAAAGAACAACGAATTTGTAGAGAAAGGACAGGCAAAGGAAATCAGTGTTGGGCCCCCAAGGGTGGCCAACAGTGGGAAGGGAAATATATGGGAGGGAACTAATGGAGTAAGTTTTGTTTATAGGCTCCTATGGTGCCATGTCTCTGTTAACAGAGTCTGTCTCCAGCAAAAGGAGTATTTACAACCTGCTTTTAGGCAGGAAAGGGGGAGGTTTTTATGGGTTTGCTGCTTTTTAATTGCCTTGAGCTCAAAATAATTTTTATGTTGAAGAGGGCTGTTTTGAGGTGACATATTCTGGTTTCTTTCAGTGGAAAGATTAAACCAAGTGGTCTGGGAAGGACTTCATGAGATGGTTCAGGGGTCTCAGCTCTCAACAGGTATTGCACTGTGTTAACCAGTTTATGGTCTTCCTTAATTGTATCTCCCGCAATTCTTACAACAACATTAGGAGGTAGGTGTTATTAACCTATTTTACCATGAGGAAACTGGGAGTTAGATTAAAGAACTTGTTAATGTCACTCACTTAACAGATGCTAGAGGACCCAGGGCTTAAGCTCTGGCCGTTGGTTTTAGAGCCTGCCCTTACTTTTACTGCCGTAAAGAAGGGGAAAGATGAAGCCAAACAGGTTGCTAGCCCTTTCTGATAGTAGTTTACAGCAGTGGTTCTCCAAGTGCGGTCTGCGGACTAGCATCATCAACAGTGCCAGGGAAAGTGTTAGAAATGTAAATTCCCAGGTCCTACCTCAGACCTGAATCAGAAACTGTGGGTGGGGCCCAGGAGTCACCAGCCCTTCAAGTGTTTTTTATATACTCGAAAATTGATCAGTGGTTAATAGTAATTAAACTTCCTCATCTGAACCAGAACCAACTCTTAATCTTGGGCTTACCATAGGCCTCTTGTCTCGATTCCACTGCCTCCACCTTCCCAGCCCTGGCTGCAATTCTGCTCCAGGAGGCAAACACAGCATCTGGGGAGGAAGTTGTCACAACACTCTCAACTCCCTCAAGGAGAGCAGCAGACCCTTTGAGGGCGGCCGGCCCCTCCTTAGGGGGAGCAGCCACTTTAGGAGGATCAGTCCCGGCAGAAGACATCTTTTTATCACAACTTTCTGGAAACAATTTCCCCTTGTCCATCATCAGTTTTCTCTGGGATCCCGGCAGGATCTTGGCCTCCTTTGCTGTGACAGGAATGTCCTACAAATGAGATTCGAAAGATCAAAGTACTCTCAGAAGTGCAGCCTCATTTTTGTTACTCTTTGCTCAGAGTTGGTGAAAAGCGATGACAGGGGGATGTGGTTCCTCCTTAGAAGGAGGGGTGGAGAAGGAAGGAGGGGCTAACACAATTCCTCTACTTACTGTTTGATGCTAAAATAGGTAATTAGGATGAGGACTAAACCCTCCATTCTGCCAAATTTCCTACAAATTGCTCACCTGTTGATTAGGATAAGCATATTCGCAGAGTCGCCTATATACATCTAATTTCTAAGAAAAGAGAAAAATGAGTTAGTAATGAAAGTAAGGCCCCTACCTTTCCTCCCAGCAGCATCCGTCTCCCACCCTGGCCCTCACCTGGCCTTTGGTGCTCAGTTTCAGTTGGTGGCACCAGGCCCTCACAACGTCTCGATGAACCAGGTTGATCGGTGGCAGTTCAGAGGGTAGTGGAGGAATTGCTATCTTCTTCCGAATTCTTACTTTCTCTTTGCCTGGTTCCATCTTTTGCAAACAGCGAGCTGAAGGAGGATGGGATAAAATTAGTAATAATTAACTTTTGTGGAGCCTTTTATTATGTCAAGAGTACAGTGACTTTTCGTTCTCATAGTCCAACCCCGAATGCGCAGTTCAAGGACTTGCCACAGACCACAAAACCTCCAAAGGACAGAACCTCACACCACGACTTCATATTTCTGAATCACACAGTTTTTACTTCCTGAAACTCCCCACTACTCACACACGCTCGCTCCTTGGTGAGCTCTGTAACCCACAGACTCTGAGGAGGTGCACTAGAGATTGTACTTCCAGTCCAGGGAAATCAGAGAAGTTGTAGACCCGAGATCGTCAGTGCTCAGTGGTGCCTTGTCTTCTCACCATAGAACAAAATAAGCCACCTGACAATGCCACACACACCCCACTATTATCCATAATTCTGCCAGTCCACCCGAGTCAGGGCAGCACTCCAGTCTCACTGCACACAAGTTTCCTGCAGTGCCTCATGCACTCTCTCAGCATTCAGGGAAGATTTCCAGAACACACCTCCAGAGCAGGCACAACTAGGACGACACTGGTAGTCGCTAGGGTATACTGAGTCCTCCTTACTAGTCAGGTGTAGTGAAGGTGTTTTACATAATTATTCTATGTAGATTATAAGGGACCCTCCCCCTGACCTCTGACTCGGCTTGGTAGGCATTATCCTCACTTTTTAGAACCAGAAGTGGAGTTTCAAGGATGGGATTTCAAACTTCCATCAGTCTGTCCCCAAATCGCTGCACTTAGAGATCCTTAACTGCAAGCAGTGAGTGAGGGCAAGATGATGACCAGCACCAAACATTTCGTGGGGGTTTGGAGACAGGAAGAAATCAGCCTTGACAGAGGCGAGCAAGAGAAGGCTCAGGGAAGTGAGATTTAAGCTAGGCCCCAAAGAAATTCCTTTTCTTTGAAGAAAATTCTGTAGGATTTGCAGAAGAGAGGATGGAAATTTCTTTCCTACTTTTTCTACTCCTTCAGGAAAATTCCTCAGGCCTCTTAGATCTGAGGAAATCAGACTCAAGGGCTTGCAGACCTCTTACCTTTGTCATCCTTCACAGACCTTTTTCGTTTGGTCCCCTTCGCTGAGGCTTTTTGTGTTTTTGTTTCACCAGAAGCCTCCTGTTCCTCTTCGGGTTCTACTGACTGAGGTTTCGATTTGCCAGTCATATATTTTTCCCCCGACTTCTTTGTGGAGTTCCGCTGGGGATAGAGGAACCAGTCAGTCATTCCTCTGGTGTCCTACCTACCACAAACACTACCAGCCTTAAGGTAACTCACATCCAAGGCACCAAAACAGTCATTGAACTCTGCTGGCAGTGTGGATTCTCCTCTGGAGGTCACGTTACTGCCCAGCTTCATTTATAAGATAGGAAACAATGATGGGGAAATGGGAGAAGACCAATTTGAAAAGTACAAGAAAAGACAGAAAATATGGATACAAATAAAACAAGTGGAAGAAAATAGGCTCTGCTTTGGGGGATGTGCTTACACCGCCTATGATATCCATCATCTCTCACCTGGAAGATTTTCTCCCCATTCCTTCACTCTTGACCTCTTCCACATTGTTTCCTATACTATTGTGGGAAGGAAGCTACCAGACCTTTACATCCATTCGAAGGTTTGTTGTTCTTAGCATGAAGATATGAAGATAAACAAATGTCTTTCATATAACCCCAGCCTCTTCTCACACTACTCTCTACTGCCCCAAGCTCCAGTCACAGAATTTCTTTCCTATCCGACGTAGTTATTTTGGCCCAAAGGGATATCACTCAGCTCCACCGCACCCCACCCCACCCCACTTCTATTTACATTCTTAAGCCTTACTCCTCCTTCGGAATCTCCCTTCAAGCGTTCATCTGCAAACCCTTTCTAGTCTTTACGGACCAAGGCAGATCTACACTTTGCCTCCTTCCCACTACTGGTCAGTTGCAATTCTACGTTGGCTTGGTAATTCAGTAAATGCCTGTTAGCTCCATTTGACTGTAAGCTCCACAAGGGCAGAATTTTTTTCCTTTTCATCATAGGCACTCAATAAATACTGGTTAATTGAATCAAAAGAAGCAAGAGAACAGTGGAGATAAAGTTGTACAGAGAATCCAACGTTTGTTGAGTCTCTCTCTTATACCAGGCATTGTTTGACACGCTCCTTATTTTCGTTCCTTTAATCCTCACAGCAGTCTGGTGACAGTTTATTTCTTTGCTTTTCAGGCGCAGAAGCTGAGGCCTTACATCACCAAGGGCGCACAGATAGGCATGTTAGATAGGAATTAAATCCGGGTCAACTTGCTCCCAAATCTAAATCCTTTCTATCATCCCCGAGGTAGGAGTACTGGACAAATTAACATTCGTATGGCATTTTTACATCTCTATTGCAGTTTGACATTCGTATTCAAATTTTACATTTGCATAGCCTACACAAAGTACTTACTTTTGGGCCTCACAAAAATCTTAAAATTGAGAGTGCAAAAATGACCCAGTTCTAGGAAAGAGCCCCTGAGAGTTCTCAGTTTCCCTGGGCACGATAGTTCAGCTCTTCTGGAACAAGCATCCAAGCCTCTCCACCTCCACTTTCTGTCTGCAGTGCTTGTCAATATGTCTGGCTTCTGATTATCTCTTGGCCCTAATGATCCTGGGAAAAGAAGACGGGTTCAGACCCAGCACCTTTGCTTTAGGATCTGTGTCTGTCGAGGGGGAGTTAAAGGATCTCGTTCTTTCCCAGATTCAGCTCATCACCTCTTCCTAAAGTCGTCCCCTCACCTCCTCCTTTCTCCTGTTACCATTTCCCTCCACTCCTGATACTGGATTCTTCTTTCTGACAGGATAAACCATCTCTTGAAAACCCAAACAGGGAACCCCATTTCTTATTATTTCCTCGCTCCAATATAACAGGCTACAATCATATCAGGGACTTCACTGTTTTCTTTTTAAAGAGGAGGAAGTTGAAGGCACATTGTTTTCTCATTAAAAGGAGGATCAAGTGTGCTCAGGGGGAGAAGGAACACGAGGAGATTCACAAAGACAGACAGAAAACAAATGCACTAAAATTGTACTTACCTCCTTGCCTTTCGTCTTCTCCATACTCAGAACAAGAATCCAGATTGATGAAAAGAAAGTTCCTACTTCTGAGCTGGCCCCTGGGCCAAGATTGCTCTTTTAGAAGTCTCCTCCCACTTCCTGCCACCCAGAGGCGCTCTTCTCTTTCACCTCCCCTCTGTTCCCTCCCCCACAATTTGTGAATGCTAATTTGTGTACTTTCTTATTCATGAGGTGGTTACTGTACGAATGAATTAATAATACCATTACTGGCCTTTTCTGTGAGTTTTTTAACATAATCACCTAAAGGGTGGTTCAGGAGACATTGGGAAGTTGAAAACTCCTTCAGAAAAATTCCAAGAGAAAAATAAAAGTTTCTAGAGACTTGTGAATAGGATGTGTGAAGGAATTTAATGATGGAACTTGTGGAAACAATAGGATTCTGGGCCAGACTGATGGCTTTAAGAAAGCCAAACTCTTTTCATGTACCATATACATTCCATTTCTTAAGCAACTTACTCGACCAATTAAAACTCCAGTGTTCCATCTGTACTAAAAATTAGCTAGCACCTTCCCATCTGCCAACAAAGAATTACAGTCATTTTTAAAGTCTGTTGATATTTGTAATGTACCGAATTCTAGGTTTAAAAGTTCACAGTCATTACTTTATTGTTCTCCATTTTATAGATGACAAAATTACGTATGAAATTGTACTGGTAACTTGCTCAATAGCACAGTAAGTGAGAGAACCAGCAATCAAGTCAAAGTGGGCCTGAATCTGTCCCCCAAGCCCTAACCTACTGACTGCCAAACAAGGTCAAGATTCTCTCAGAAATCCTTGCAACAGTCCCTCCTTCTCACATCGCTCCTCCCTGTCAAGCTGGCAGGACTGGAGATGTGAAGGGAAGGAATTTCCCTGGAGAAGAACAGAGATCGTGGTGGCATCCAAACCTTCAGCTGTCAGATTACAAAGTCTGTGTTGTTTTTCTGTACATCTCATTGCTTACCCTAAAATGATGAAGAAGAGATAATCCTCACCCAGAGTGCAGGTGATAATTTGCTCACAGGATGGAAATATAAGAACAAAGGAAGTAAGTAGATGAGACCACCCAGGAGTCGAGAAGGAAGTGTACAAGTGGACTGGGCGGGTCCCAAAGCACCAAGGAGGAAAGCAAGTATTTAGAATCCCGATCATCTGGGAAGTCGGACGGGGCTTTGTCTGATGGGTGATTACTCCGACTCACAGACAGCAACCAGTAAAGACTTGCTAGTGAATGTTTAAATAAAGAGCTCGATTGAATCATCCTTCTTTTCCCAGTGTAACGGGAGGTAGCACTGCTGAGTTCTGAATTTACAAACCCCAATTTTGAGATATCTAATCCCAGGGAAGGTACGATCTGTAACTTGTATGTAAACAGATAGAGTGTGTGTTGGAATTTGATTTAGGAATTCTTTGAGCCACCACCATTTGGGGGAACACAATTCTAAAAGAAATGTAGCAACCATTCAAAAAGAAAATGGATTAGCTGATGTCCCGTGTATAAAGAAGATTAGTACAATTTGAAATATTTCAGCATAATTGTAAATAACACTACTGAGTTGTTGAATGAAGCAAAAAGCCAAATATCTTTTTAACAGGCTTGTTGGTGTTGTGGTAATTTAAAAGCAAACTTGGGCAAAGTACAATGTATTTGCACTTCAGTTTCTCAAATGTAAAATAGGAATAACTGGAAATTTACTTTTTTTAGAAAAATAACTAACAAATTTATGTGTAAAATTTCTTATTAATGTTTGGTAGTCAAAAGAAAAACTGTTTACTGCTTTTTTTTTTTTTTTTTTGAGGAAGATCAGCCCTGACTAACATCTGCTGCCAATCCTCCTCTTTTTGCTGAGGAAGACTGGCCCTGAGCTAACATGGGTGCCCGTCTTCCTCTACTTTATATGTGGGACGCCTGCCACAGCATGGCTTGCCAAGCGGTGCTTAGGGCCACACCCAGGATCTGAACCGGCGAACCCTGGGCTGCTGAAGTGGAACGTGCGAACATAACTGCTGCACCACCGGGCCAGCTCCAGTCTATTGATTTTTAAAAATGTTACATCAAAAATGCCTAAAGTTCTATCTATCTTGAGTTCAAAAAATATTCCTACCTGAATCTCCCATTCATTTATCGAACAACAATGTATTGGGTGTCTGCTATGTGCTCTGCATGAGAGAAACAGTCGTGACAAAAGCAGACAAGGACCCTGCCCTCCCAAGCATGCAGTTGGGAGAGAGGACAGACATTAAGCAAATAATATCAATAACTAATAATATAAAGAAATACTCTTTTACATGATTTTAAATGCGTTATATTCATTTGTATGTACTATCAAAACAAATGTAAACTATTCACTGATGACACTTGAGGGAGCCAGCCTGTGGCCGAGTGGTTAAGTTCACATGCTCTACTTTGGCTGCCTGGGGTTTGCTGGTTCAGATCCTGGGTGCAGACTTATGCACCACTCATCAAGGCATGCTGTGGTGGCATCCCACAGAGAAGAGCTAGAGTGACGTATAACTAGAATATGCAACTGGGGCTTTGGGGAGAAAAAAAGAAAAAGGAAGATTGGCAACAGATGTTAGCTCAGGGCCAATCTTCCTCAAAAAAAAAAAAAAAAGAGAGAGACCCGAATGATCTTGGGTCTTGTCTATTAAAAAAAAATTATGACACTAGAAAAGCAGGAAAGCTCTGCATGTATGACAGCCTGCAGGAGGGGTTTTGACCTCAGCAAGGCAGTCAGCAAAGTAGCCGATCCGAAGGAGCAGGTGAACTGCTGAGTAGAGGAAGGAAGGATCTGCCCAGGAGACGGGCAGCACTCCTGAGGCAGCCCAGCTCAGTCCAGGAGCTGAAAGAGGGCTGCGTGCGGCTGAGAGAGGGAGGAGGAAATTGTAAGCTGAGTCTGGATAGGTTGGCTTTTTGCTCTTTAGGCTAAGAGCAATGGAAAGCTATGGGAAAATTCAAGGCGGGGTCGGGGTGGGCGGACTCTGATGAGCATTTTGTAAGTTGAGTTAGGAGGCGACTGATGCCACATTAGGCCTGAGATGCAGGCGGCTGGAGTAGCAATGGAGAGTTGTGGTTAAAAGCACAGACTGTATTTAAACCTCCCCACTACCAGCTGTGTGACCTCATGCAAGGTATCGCACCCCTGCAGATCCCCCCATCATCCGTGAAACGGGAGAGGCGAAAACACCAGCCGTTACCCGGAAGGTTGGCGGGGAGTGACGAGGGCTCTCGTGTGTCCTGAATAGACAGTGTCTGGGGCGGCACATGTTGGGTCAATGTCAGCTGTTTCTATTATGACAGTGTTGGAGAGTGTTTAAAAACAAAATTCAACTGAGTACTTTTTAAAGATCTTATTGGCTTTATTCAATGATTCATAAATCAGGCAGCATCCAATCCAGCAGACAGAAAGGAGCTCTGAGGAGCTGGACGATATGAAAGACATTTGTAGGCAGCAGGGAGCAGCAACAAGGAAGTTATGCTAGGCAAGAAAAGCAGATTGGTTATCGCAAAGTGACCTTCCTTTAGGGGCCGGCAGGAGTCTGTCAGGCAGATTACCTGACTAGTGCTCATCAAGCGATTCCTGATTGACTGGTTTAAGATTCGGTTTCAAGGAGAGCCGAAACTCTGAGTGAAGTCTCTGGTGACACGGAACTTAGCATAAGTGACTCCATTTTCGATCTATTGTCTTGTTTTTAGCAAAAGGAATACAGATTTGTGAGATGAGGAGTACTCCTGCCAAATTTTTTTTTTTAAAGATTGACATCTGTTGTCAATCCTTTTGTTTTTTCTTTCCTTCTTCTTCTTCTCCCCAAAGCCCCCCAGTACATAGTTGTATAGTCTAGTTGTAGATTCTTCTGGTTCTGCTCCGTGGGATGCCGTCTCAGCGTGGATTGATCAGCGGTGCTAGGTCCCTGGCCAGGATCCGACCCAGCGAAACCCTGGGCCTCCAAAGCAGAGTACGCAAACTTAACCACTTGGCCACAGGGCCAGCCCTGCCATGGTTTCTTTTCTCTTCATTTTTGTGTGTATTTTCTTTTCAAAAAAAAGTTTTAATTGAGTAAAATGAGCTGAGTTAATGAGGCTTTTAGTTGTTTACCTGGAGGCAATGAATTTTCCAAAGTCATTAATCTGCATTTACAGAAGACAAAACAGGATTGTGTCACACGTAACCACCATTTCATGTTTGATGGAATGGAGAGATTGGGAGGCTGGTTGGAGAGCTTGTCTGAATCTCTCTGCGCTGTGTATTCCTAGAAGTCCTGGGGCAAAAGCTGGGCTTAAAAAAAAAATTATACATAGTTCAATTTATGTGCAGAATGATTTTACCAATTTATAACATGGCATGAGAACCCCTCATTCTCCATATCTGAGAGACTGGTATTTTAACAAGTACGCTAGATCTTGACACACCTAATTTGTAGCAATTTACCTTTTATGTGTCTCCTATAGTGGGAAATCGTTGTTCTTTATGGGATTATTTTATTTTAGAAACAAGTGAGTCATTTAGAAGTAAATCTGGAAAGTAAATAGGCCATCAGGTTAGTTAATTACTTTGGTTCAAAAAGGGAAAAGTTGGAGGTAGACGGTAGAGCTGATATCGTGAAAGAAAAAAACCCAATCTGTTTGTTTATAAACTGTCTCCCTCCCAACTTCCCCCCACCTCCCCCCTCCTTCCTTCCTTCCATCACGTGGCAGGCACTAGGCATAAACAGGTGGTTCTGGTCCTTAATTACCTCACAGTAGGAGGAGTTTCAAACATGTGAGCAAACAAAGTGTTATTGGGTTCCTTCCTGAGTTTCCCTAGAAATTCTGCATGTATAATTTTATATTCTTTTTCTTAAAGAGGGACCTCCAAAGTTGTGTAAGTTTTAGGACCCACAGATCTGCTCCAATGGTGATACGTAAATATGGAAATGTTTGTATAAAACAACAACCACCTTGAAAATCTCACCTAAGATGCTCTCCTTTTGCTTCCCACTACCAGCTCCTCCTCCCCCCCCCCCCCAATTATAAGTAACTGTATCTCCTAGGGCCATCACTAGCACATATAAAACTTAGTATACATTCAAAAAAATAACACTTTGGGGCTGACAAATTGCAAAAAGCATCCACTCAAGTGGACCAATTAGCAAAAAGTTGGCACTTCCTCCAGGCTGAGGCAGCTTTGAGCAAGGACACAAGGCTTGGCAAGTGACTCCTGAACTTTATTTCAGCCTCAGTTCATGTCTTTTCTCTGAGTGTCCATCTGAAGACCACAACCTATACAATTACCATGGCAGCTCTGGGTCCCCAGTTTATTTCAAATATGTTACTGAGTACATATTCAAATGCTTTTTCAAGCCAAGGTAAATTACATCCATCAATACTCCGGGAGATTCATCACTGCTGTAGAGGATATTGATTTGTTTCCCAAAGTTCTTCAAGCCAACTGATAGTGCCTGTAGATTGATTAGTGTTGAGTTCCCAAGTCGTTTGCTGCTATTTTCCTGGGGAAGAGAGGCAGCTGTGAGCTTGCAGGCCTTTATGAACCACTTTCATTTAACAACGGGGAAATACCTGGCTTTGTGATCATAAGAACTTGCCTACATATGATGAACTACTTTGAAGTGAAGGAAGGCGAGCACGAGGATTTAGATATGATGTGGTGGCTGAGACCATCCTTTCAGTTCCCCGTGTAAGGGCAGAATCCTCAGCTTGCTCTTCCTTGTTACCTACCAAGTCCTATTGAGTCCATCTCCTAAACGTTTCGCAGTGCTGGTTCCTCATCTTCATCCTCACAGCTACTGTCTGCATTCAGGATTTCATTTCCTCTCACCTGCACCACTGTAATATCCTCCTTATTGATATTCTTATCTTCATTCAACATCTGTCTTTCAAACCATCCTCCACTTGAGGCCTGGGATGTAAGGTTGTGCTGTCCACCTCCAGGGACACAAGTATGACTGAATGGTGCCCCCTGGAGTCCTTTCAGCTCTAGTGTCCCAATAACTTGGGGGAATAGACAACACGGGTACATGAGACTTTTTTGCATAGATAACCATCCCGAGGTATTTAGGAGTGAGAGTTTATAAAAGCAGGCTTAATTTAATTCCGCAGCACGCATGCATTTTTGCTCAGAAGCCTTAACTCTTGTTAAATATAATTCACTTTCTTGTGGCTTTTAAATTTTACGTGGCTCTGAAATAGAGCGTCTTTTATGATAAGAATTGCTTTCCTCCTAAGCTAGAAGCATAACCATTCATAGAACAGTAAGAGTAACTTAAATGAGAATGATTACTAAATAAATGCAGCCGCAAAGAGAAGATAGGTAATAACACTTTGCATTCATACAAGCCTGCCTTTCATCTGAGTATCTCAAAGGAAGGCAAAATGGAGCTGATGCTGTATTATGGTTGAAAATTACAACTGTGCAATTTCCTTATTCCTGAGTGTTTTCCTTCTCAAATAAGATGCTGAGTTAAAGCATCTCCAGAATTCAGTGTGTATTGATTCTGAACACAGGTTTCTCTCTTTTTTTCTACCCCTCTAACGTCAACCCCGAGTTGCAATGATATTGATGGACCATCTGGCTTTGTGGCCTTGAAGCATTTGCTATCACTGGAGAAAAATGTAATCATAAGGGATGGATGGACATCTTTCTGAGCTGTTCTAAAGTTGTGGTGGAAAAATACGGAGATGAAGATGCAGATAGAACATTTTCTGCTCCCCCCAAATCAATTCAATCATGGTGTTAACAAACCCTTCAAGAACGCAAGAGAGAAGTGGCCTGTCCACTCTGCTGAAGAAAAGTTTTACAGGTGTGCTCAGTGGTATAAATGGAAATTAGTCCAATTAGAGTCCAGACTTACACTACCGTAAGTATTCTGTGTATTGATGGTAGGTCTAGAAATCCCCAGAAATACCTTGCTACTGACCCTCTTTACACCTTTTCTATTATGAGGTTGTGACATTGTATTTTTTTGGTGGCTTTAAAATGTTCACATAACACCTGTCTATAGGCACATGCCCTTTTGACTCACGACATAAGAGAAGTTAAACAGTGATCCTCCACATCTCTAAATAGACAGGAGAAGAAGAACATTTTTTTGAAGGTTAATCGTTCACAGAAAAAATAGTATAAGCAAAAGGTAAACACATTTTTTTCTCAAGGTAATTAAAATTTTCGTGACAGTTAAGACCAAGTCTTACCATCAAGGGAACCAAGAGGTCCAGACTTCAGATTCTCAAATAGCCTCACATTTAGATGCTTCGAATGATCTCCAAAGGAAGTTATCTACATAGCCAGCAATACACCATAAGGATTAGAAGAAAAAATGTCAATCGTGCAACTTCATTAGAAGAAAACACTTTCTACAATTATACAACATTTTCTGTAAATTCCTGTCTTCATTTTTTAGTATACATGGAATCTCAAAAAATGCAAGTGACTTAGGCCTTTCTCATTGTGATGTGATTTATAATAAGAAATATATATTTTGTCTTGTCCCCATTTCTGGCACAGAGCTCCTAAAACTCTTGGAATTTCCTAACTGATGAGAGCATAAAAGAGTCCTTTGTTATGTTAATGTGACTTTTGGAATGTACACAAGGATGGGGGTTGGTTGCCAGTGGAGCCAACCATGTGATTAGAGTGCTGGAATTTTCAGTCCCTCCCCCACCCTTCCCATCCTCCCTTCTCTACCCCACCACCCTCACCTGGTGGGGAGGGCATCTGGAGGCTGAATCAATCACCAATGGCCAATGACTTAATCAATCATGCCTATGCAATGAAGACTCCATAAAAACCCCAGAGGATGGCATTCAGGGAGCTTCCAGGTTGGCAAACATGTGGAGGTGCTGAGAGAGCGGTGCGCATGGACAGGGCATGGAAGCTCTGTGTCCCTTCCTCACAGCTTGCTCTATGCATCTCTCCCATCTGGCTGTTCCTGACTTATGTCCTTTTATAACAAACCAGTGATCTAGTAAGTAAAGTTTCTTTGAGTTCTATGAGACACTCTAGCACATTAATCGAACCCATGGCGGAGATCTTTGGAACCTCCTAGCTATAGCTTGTGGGTCGGAAGCACAGGTGACAACCTGGACTTTCAACTCTCTGAAGTGTGGAGGTGGGGCAGTCTTGTGGGACTCAGCCCTTAACCTGTGGAATCTGATGCTATCTCCCAGAAGATAGTGTCAGAACCGAGTTAAATTGCAGGACACCCAGCTGGTGTTGGAGAATCGCTTGTTGGTGTACTCTCCATGTAATTCCATGGTGGAAATGGGGGCAGAAGCCTTACTCATTACAAAATATGTCAATATAATATATTATTATTAGTGAGAGGGAGAAGTTAGGAAGGGAAAGAGGAAGGGGCGAGCAAGAGAAACACAAAGACAAAATAGGAAAAGAGAAGAAGCGCCAAGGGGAAAGAATTTTAGGGAGGAATGTAAACACGGAAGCAAAGAAGTGAGAAACAAGGGAAAAAGAGGAGGGCGAGGACTAAGTGTTCAATCATAGCTATATATTTCTGTATTGTTTGGCTTCTTATACTGAACACATTGAAAATTACAGTCGAATATTACAACTATGCATTTTTCCTGATTTTGACTGTTTTGCTGTCCAACATGGTGCAGTCTGTGCAGCAAAGGAGAGATAGGTGCTGTCTACTATTAGGGCCTGATAACAGGAGCCATGGAGAACTTCCAGCTAACTCTTCAGGCCGTGTTTTCTTACTCACCAAATTACTCTCCACATAAACTGTCTTCCTACGAACGATTGGCTGGAAAGAGAGAATGACCACCCCAAAGGAGCTCTCTGATTCTCTTGAGAATTACACTTGTCCTTGTAAATTGGCATCATTGGTTTATGCCTCTGTGTCCTGTGAGGTTGCTTGCTGAGATTATTCACTGAGAGTTGAAGAATTTAGGTTTCCAGGCTTGTAAGCTGGAGTGTAAGGCCCTATAATTCTGTGACAGCAGAGGTCCACCCACAGCAGAGGCCTGCGGTTGTTCCACCCACTCTCATCTGTGTTCTTCCCGTGCATTCATTCAGAATTATTGATAAGATGAGTTCAATCAAATGAAGAGTCTGAAGTACGGAATATTTCAAAGAAAATTAGTATATTTTTCAATACATCACAAAGATAAAATATAATAAATTTGAAATACGAAACAAAGTTTCACTGAAAGAAAATGCTACAGTAAATAAAAATGTTTCAAAAATGAGATTTCTTTAGAAATTGTGAGATAGTGAATAACTTACAATAGCCCAAATATCCAACCCTACACAACTGGATAGGTAAATTTGTGATGCATTCACACAACACAGCGCTTTCCAGCCACGATAAATGATGAAGTAGAGTAGTGTATTCTCACACAGGAAAGAAAGCTTGGGTGTATTTTTTAATTAAAAACAAATTTCAGAGCAATGTGAGTACTATGACACCATTGTTCATTTTGTTACGGTAATAATGTAGAGAGTGGGGGAAGGGCTTATTGGGCCTTGTCATTTTCTCTGTCGGACATTTCTGTAACACTTGAATTTTCACAATTAGCATGCCTTATTTTTATAATTGAAAAAAGCTTTAAGAAGAATTAGCCACTGTTTCCTGTGTTGAGACTGTTTTAAAATAAAGTATTTCTTTATCGAAGAGTATTTTAACCACCTAACTTTCAAACTACACTACAAAGAGATTCAATTCGTAATGTACAACATTAATGGTTGTGCAGTCGGGTGAAAGATCGCCCCCTTGTTGTTCAGAGCACGGATTCAGGCTAAATGGAAGAAAGGAAAACATAACTTTCCGATTCATCAGGCAAGCTTCCTGAACGGAACAGCCGTCCTAACCTTTGTTGAGTGAGAGAGGTCGGGACATCCTTAGAAAGTGGTGAGACGCGCAGTTTGTGTTTGGTGTTGCCGTCCTCCCCTGACATTCCTTGGATCCTCTCAGCTTCTTCACCCAGTGACACAGGCAGCACCCCAAGAGCCCAGAATCTTATCCACTAGAGCACTTTTCTTAGGGACCAGTCTGAGAACCCTAATAGCGATTGCTACTTCTTGCTACACAATGACCCATTAAAATCTGTTTTTTGAATGATTTCCTCTAGTTGTGCTCTTTGTGTGGGAATCCATTAGTCATAGGGAAACTCAAAGCAGATACAGATAATTATAACAGTTAATATTTATTGAGCACATATGTGCCAAGTAGTGTATTTATATTATCTTATTGTTATTATTCCTGTTTTACACATGAGAGAACTGATGATTGGAAGGTTACTTAGCACCACACAGTTAATGAGAGAGGAGCTTAAGATTCAAACTCAGACCTTTCTGTCTTGGGAACCTGAGAGGTTAACCCCTAAGCCAATGGTTGTCAAAACGTGGACTTTGACCAGCAGCATCAGCGTCACCTCGGAGTTTATTAGAAACGGAAATTCTCCATCTCTACCTCAGATCTCCGGGATAAAAAACTTTGGAACATAGAAAGGCATTTGTTAAAATGCCCTGCAGGTGATTTTAAAGCACATTAATGCCCTAAATTATAAAGCAGAGTTGTCCAGTTGAATTTTCTGGGACGATGGACATGTTTTATACAATCCACTGTCCAATAAGGTAACTACTAGCCATATGTGGCTATTGAGCATTTGAAATGTAGACAGTGAGACTGAGAAACCACATTTTAAATTTTATTTAATTTTAATTAAAATTTAAATAGCCACATATGATTAGTGGCCACTATGTTGGACGGCATGCTATTATCTCCTTATATCCTTGACTATGGTTCTTTATAAGATCATCCCTGAACTCTAAGGATCACTACTAATGCAATCGATTAGTGACAATTATAGCAGAATGGGTTAGAAATACATTGGAATAAGTGCAGTCTTATGTAGGACACATTCTCCAGGAAGCTTCCTGCGTTGTTTGTCTATAGAGTCAGTTTTAAAAAGAATAAATTAGAGCATTCAACCCACATGACCCTTATCATGTCCACAGAACACCAAATGGAGTGATTAGGTTGTTTACACAGATCGATGATCCTATACAGACAGTGAACAGCAGTTCTGATGCACAAGTAAAATGAATCCCACAAATATTGACCTAGACAGAACTCTGGTAAAAAGCCATAAAAAAACCCTTATGGAATACGTTCTTCCTTTTTTAAAGTATGTAAGAATATACAGGTATGACAACTCATTTGATGTGACTCAAAGGCAATTTTTGGACAAGATGTTGGTTCTTTCTACCATTAAGAAGTAGCCAACCTGGGGCTGGCCCCGTGGCCGAGTGGTTAAGTTCGCGCGCTCTGCTGCCGGCGGCCCAGTGTTTCGTTGGTTCGAATCCTGGGCGCGGACAAGGCACTGCTCATCAAACCACGCTGAGGCAGCGTCCCACATGCCACAACTAGAAGGACCCACAATGAAGAATATACAACTATGTACCGGGGGGCTTTGGGGAGAAAAAGGGAAAAAATAAAATCTTTGTAAAAGAAAGAAAAAAAAAGAAGTAGCCAACCTGCAATGTAGTAAATGTAAAAGAGCCTGTAGACTTCAAAATTGTAACCTGGCGTGAAAACAGTGGAAATGAAAAGAGGTAGTGTGGTCCTGTCCTGTTATAAATCAAACAGTAAGGTGGAGAAAAAGAATATGCCAGTGCTTGAATTTGTTTACAGCTGTCCAAAGGAGAGAGAACTCCAGCTAGCGGACACAAACACTGGTGATGCTACATGGAAGCAGCTACTAGGAGTCTTAAATCCTCTCTGCTCACTTGGGAAGTTCAGTAGCTGGAGCCAGGGGACAATTCCAACAAATATTTATTGATCCCTTATGGGTCAGAAGCGATGAGAATTTAATGATGAGTACAGCTGTGTTCCTGAAAGGCCTGATGAGAGTTGTGCTTTAGGAAAATTACTCTGGTGAGGAGCTATTGTGGGACTCCCTCCTGAGGATCTCGAAGACCAGAATGAAGTGATTGTTGGTGAGACTAGAAAAGCAAGGGAGGTTATGCAAATCGTTGCAGAGGTAGAATCCCACAAGAACTTATTAGACATGGGAGGTCGAAATTTGATATAAGAGTGACGTTTAAATTTTGGTGCCAGGAAGATGATAGTATTATTAACAAAAAGAGAGAACGTGGTGGAGAGGAGATGTGTCATGGACGTAAGGGGTTACAGTACATAGTAACTGCTGACAGGTGTTATTTCCTGCCATGACCCAACCGGGCAAAAAATGAATCCAAGAGTATATAGGCAAGTACCTATCAGGCTTTGTCCAAGATTTTGGAGGCAGCATAGAAGATAGAAGCATCATATATCTTTCTTTGTTAAAGAGCCTGGAATTGCAAATTCTGGAGTCTATTTAGTGATCCAAAGTATAACCAGACTGATAAAATGTCCTAGTTAGTTAGCTGACAAATTACTCCACCCCAGTTAATTCCTCCCTCCTCGATTTTTGCTGATCTGGCACAACTCTTATTCTATAGTATAATGATTTGCTAGATTGGG